CTTCAAGTTTCTCAGTGCGGGATGGGTGAGGTACATTTGCGTTTATCATGATCTGTCGACCCACAGACTCTACATTTCCTCTCTTTTTTTGGTTTTGCAATGTCAAATGGGTGCTGGAATCTTTTCTCTCTTGGACGCCCTTTCGTAGTAGACTTTGGTGGGTCTAGTATCACTCTTGTGTTTGATGATTGGGATCCCTCGGCATGTGAGCCCTGGAACTGGAAAATATTGCCAGACACATGCATGACAGGAATGCTTCCTTGATGCGCTACTGGGACACCTTAAGTGGCACTAGTCCATGGTGGTGAAGAAAACCTTTGTGCTTCTTTTTGCTCATCTTTTTCATTTCTTGCTTTTTTTATCTGCCTCTTTTATAGTGCATCCATGCCGTCTCTGAAAGCATTAACGTGTTTCCTTGCCAATGCCATCCCTTCATCAGTAGTGCAAGCGTCTTTTGCTTGTTCCTTGAAATCATTCAGAATAGATGTCTATCTCATGATATTTTTTCCTTCCTCTGTCATACCCTTCTTAACTGTTGGCTGTTGGTAATCAGGCTCAACAAGATCCTCTTCTGGATCCCATGTTCACCTATCTAGGATATACCTCCTCGGTATCTCGTAGACTCCAATCTGTTCCATTACTCGTAGTATGTGTGCGCACAATAGCCCGTGGCGATCAAACTTGCAGCAATTGCATGAGTATACCCCTTCATCCTTGTTCGCCTGCACATGGTAGTCCCTATCCCCATACTTTGGTAGTATGCCTCAGAGCGACTACATCCTGAAGGTTTCATCTTGCAAAGTGTCGCATCCGTAAGCAGCCTTTAGCTTCATCTCTACCTGGAACTTGGAGAACAGATTTTGTGTGTATATCCCTCGCATGTGTAACTCAATTGGGTTCAATGAATACATGTCTGCATCTTTGTAAATTGTGTCCACTTGGTCTTTCGCCACAACCACCATTACTTTCTCTTGGATTGCAGTGTATTGAGTTGCGAATTCAATCAATGAGTTGTTGGGTTTCACGTACTTCTTGATCACAGCATTGAATCCCTCGCTCCTTGCAGTTGTCTGCAAGAATGGAAAGAAATGCTTCATGTAGTACACTGGGGCCCAACATTTCCTATTTTCCCACAGCCAGTGAAAATGTTCATTGTCGATCTAGCCATATTCATCCATCATTGCCCACCATTTGTTTTCAAACTCTTCCTCTGTGATACACAAAACATGAGACAATTACAACATCATACACAATCATTGGTAATTAAAGTACAAGTATGCTGGTAACTTTTCTTAGTTGTTAGATGGTAACTTCATTGAACAAATTTTCCAGATCTTTTTTTGTTCTTTTTGATATGTGAAAGTTTTCTTTTCTTTTTTTTGTTTGTCTTACACCTAGTCTGGTAACTTTTCTAAACCAATAGTTGGTATCAACATATGTAGTTTTTCTGATACAAAATAACCAGACCCGTTTTTTGCTATTATCAAATGTTAAAAAAAATTGTTTGTTATTTTTCTTTGGTTCCCAGACGGTGATTACATGTCCACACATTGTTTCCATTCTAATTTGATGTTGGTCCAATGAAACTGCCCCCTGGTAATACAACCAACCAGATCATGGTAACTTGTGTAGACCCACACATGGTAACTTGTGCTTCACATATATTCATATGGCTTCTGAAGTTTGTTGTGTGGTAATTAAAATGGGTCAACAGATTAGGTACGTACCAGTCAAGCTATTGTCGACACAGTCTTTGAACGCTTTGTTTAGTGGTTTATCATCAGCCATAAGTTTTCCAAGTTTCTCCTGTGCCTTCTTCATTATATGCCAGCAGTAATTTCTGTGTATTATGTTCAAGAAGACCTCGTCTATCGCACTCCTCATTGCAAAGTCCTGCTCTGTGATGATGTTTTTTGGGGCAACACCACCCATTGCATGGAGGAATGTGTTAAACAGCCACACAAAGTTTTTCTTTAGTTCATTTCGAACGAAGCCACACCCAAACTGGATGGATTGACCATGGTTATTAATTCCAATGAATGGTGCACACGGCATCTTATACATGTTTGTCATGTATGTCGTGTCAAACGACAAATAGTCATTATACTTTGCATATGCCCTGCGTGATGCGCCATCTATCCAGAACAAGTTCTCAACCCTGTCCTCATCATCAAGTTTGATTCTCTAGTAGAAATATGAATCTTCGGCCCTCATCTCTTGGAAGTATGCAATTGTGCTCCCAGCGTCCTTGTGGCGGTGCTCTAAGCGGAACTTAGCTCGTTGATTAGCAATGTCTTGTGTCGTGTAGGGTACGTCTTTAGCGCTCCCGTAGAACCATGACATCAACTGCATCTGCCTCGCAGTCTCAACGTTGCATCCATGCAGAACCCTCAAGAAGTCCTGCTCCTCCTTCGGAATGTACCGATGTGATGATAAGAATTTTGTTAGGGATGGCTTTTTGATCAGGGGGTGATTGTGGTTGTCCTCGAAACGGTCAACAGTCCACCATGCATCATCATGGGATAGGTACATGTGTGTTTCACATTCAGACCTAACAACTTTCTTTTTTTCCTCTTCTTGACAATGCTGGCTGGGTTTTCCACATCTTGCAGCTCATCACTGTCCTTGCGTCGTTTGTCATATTTTGTACAAACTAGTAGCACCCTGCTTATAGTTCCATCAACCCTCTCTTTCTTGAATTGCTGCCTAATTGCAAAGCCAGTCATGCGCGCGTAGGTGTTGTAGTGGTCACGTGCGCTCTTCAGGGTGTCAAATTTTGTCCCTTGTAAAGGTGGCTTAGGTGCGGAATATGCCTCCATGTTGCTGCCTTCCATATCAGCGTCGATCCCAGCAGATTCTGGAGTTGCTGGTTCGCTTATTGTCTGCTCTCCAAGGCTCCCAGCTCCTGTGCTTGCATTTGTTCCAGCACTATGTGCATTTGTTCCATCACTGGGCAAGCTGTTGTTTGCGTTGATTGCCCGAGCACCTGCAATTTGGCCTGGTAGATTAGTGGAATATTACATGGTAAATAACAGTTTTCCATCATGGTAGTTTTCTGAAGATTTAGTGAATGTAGCTTTTCTGCCTAAACAACCTTGGTAATTTGCATACTTTGAACCTGGTAATATGAATGCACCAATGCTGGTAATTTTCAAACCCACTTCAATAGCAAAGTATTCTTTCTGCCTAAAAAACCCTGGTAATTTGCATTTTTTTTGTTCCTGGTAATATGTGTGCACCAATGTTGGTAATTTTCAAACCCACTTCAGCAATAAAGTATAAAACTGGGTTTTTCATTCCTTGATGATATGTAAACAATAATGTTGGTAATTTTACCTGTTCCCATGATGTTTGGGTATGCAGAATTGCTGCTTGGTGTGTGCGCTGCATCGTCCTCTTCATGCATTCTCCCTCCTCCTTCATCTTCTGCATTATCTTCTCTGCTAGCATCCATTTATCTACTCCTGCTTGATTTGTTTTTACGTTTGCACGTTAGTATACATTTACACGTGTTGACTCTTTTTTTGAAACTCATTGTTTTGTTTACTCTTTACACAGTTGTTTGAAGGCAAGAATCGCAGGGGTGATTGGAAAGAACACTAAACAGGACAATTACAATACAACATGAGCATCTTCATTAAAAGGCACCACTTTTCTTTATCCAACGTTAGTACTTAGCTAAAGTGGATGATAACTTTTATTATGTACAGATTGATAACTTGTTTACTTCATGCAGTATAACATTCTTGTAGACTAAAAATGAACCTTTTTTGCAATGCATCTTCCATTGTATGAGAGAATGAACTTTGTGATCAATAAAGGTTCCTCTTTCTTTTTATCTGTCTTTATTTTTTCATGGTAGACACAAAATCTATGTTTTTTGTAGCAGGGGAATGGGGTATTTTGTTGGGTACTCTGTTATGCTGCATAAAGTTGGTAACAAAAACTACAAGGGGTTGGTAATTTTGCACTTAGTTGATTGGTAAGTCACTGCAATAGGCAGAATTATGAGAGAAGTTTGCTTATTCTATTTTCATGAGTTGGAAGGATGGTAATTTTTGCACAGATTGGGAGGGAGTGGGGTGGGGATGGGGTAAGTCTTTGTATTAAGCAGAATTTTTTGGAGATTTTGGATGAGTCTTGATTCTTACCAGGGTGAGGTGATGTTGCCTGGTGATTTCTTCGTTGTATCCCTGATAATTTCCGCCGCTTCCCTGATGATCTGCTCTGGTTTGATCCAGATCTGGAGGAGGGGTAGGTCTTTGGTGTTATTTTGAGCAGCTGTGTAGGGGGGAGGGGCGTGTGGGTGGTGGGGAGGGTGAGAGAGGGTATACTTGCGTGGGAGGTAAGGTGCGTGGGGGAAAGTTGTGATCTGAAAAGTGCGTCGTGGGGGGATGGCATTTTCTGTTGGGCCTTGTACGGCGATCGGCCTGGTTAGCCGGCGGGGTGATCGGCCTGGTTAGCTGGCGGGTGATCGACAGGTATGATAAGGTACTTTTCCTATCGGGCACGCTGTTGCCAAATATCATTGTCCATATTTTTATACTTGAACTACTATGGAAAGAAGTCAATGCATGTAGAGTACAGATTGGAGCATGTACACGTAAACTGCAGTAAAAAAATAATCAGACATTTGTGGTCTCTACGTATTGTGACCTATTTCATTTACATTACGGTTACTTGTTAGCTAATATTTTGTTTATTCTCAGCTTAAAGATTAGTAGCATATTATTTTCCGACCAAATTTGGCCCGTGACCCCTAAGGTAGCTAGATAGCCCCGTTCCGATTAGGATTTGTTGTCAACTGTGCGCCGCCAAACGATTCAGACAGGGAAAGTCGTGTCCGGCTAGGGCACGAGCCCTTCTCTTCTCCGTAACGCAGAACAAAGGCCGTCCGCTCCAATACTATATAGTCCCCAACTTTTTTCGACAAAGGGAGTCCCCAACTACTTCCCAAACACCGCATATCGATCGAGCTCTCGCCATTGTTCCTCGACACCATGGCCCAGGACGGAGAAAGCAAGTGCTTCCAGTTTTGCATGATCGTAATAGCGTTAGGTCTCATGGCAGGTTTTGTGTATTTTCTTGTGCGGGAAAACACGAGGCCAGGTGACACCAAGTACACGGTGACCATCACCAGCGTCGACGGCCTGGACCCGGCGCTGGATCTCCATAGCGACCGGCAGGTGCTCAGCCCGGTGTTCGGCATCACCGTGCACATCGACAACACCCACAACCAGATCGTTCCGAAGTGTGTCGGTGGCGTCGGCTCGTCCGCGATCGTGTCATACGGGGATGCGCTGCTCGCCAAGGGCGCCGCGCCGTGGTTCTGTGTGCAGACAACAAAGGTGGGAGAGGCCGCTACCAAGGCGTGGGGCTTGAACGTGCAGCTGCCCCACTTCCTGCGAGACCGGCTGGCCGGCGAGCTGGAGAGGGGCCAGGCGGTGGTGGACGTGGCGGTGCGGACTCCCGCGGGTGCTGGCTGTTACATAAGCGGATGCCTGGACACGGTGCTTGTCTGCAAGGCCAAGATCGGCGGAGGTCCATCCCCGTGTTTTCGTGCCACGACTGTCAGCGGCAAGACATGAAACAGATTGTTAATTAGTGTCTTGGTTTTTATTTTATTTTTATTTAGGAGGATAGTGTGGAGCCTCCATGTGAATCTTTGTTTTCAGTCAAAAGGTACATATGTCTTATAGAGGTATCTGAATTTTGTATTTCAAACCCAAGAACTGTGTTTTATATTGGATCTGAATGTATATTTTCTACTACCGACTACTGTGCTCCATATATAGTGGATCCAAACTTTATTCTTCCAGTCAATATGATTTATCGTGGTAGATACGGAGTTGATCGCGATAAGTGTATGACATACAATGTAGTTGTCTGACTACTTTTTGAGTTTTGGAATCTAGTTTGACATAGGACGATGCTAGGCGCCGGTGCGCCGGCCGAAAGTTTCGGCCGGTCCAACCCTAGCCGTCAGATCAGCCCGTCCCGCGCCGTTGGATCCTTATCCAACCAGGTCCTCGTCTTCCTCTCGCGAGCGCGTAACGAGCATCGTCTTCCTCTCGCGAACCCCATCTCGCCGGCTGCCCCCGCGTTCCCCCTCGTCGCCGCCCCTCCCTCGCCCGCCCTCCTCGTCCCTGATCACCATCCTCGCCGGCCGTCTTTCGCGGCCGCCCTGGTCGCCGGTAGTCCTCGGCGGCCGTCCTCTTCACCGGCTTCGCCCCCATGCAAATAGCCCATCCCTGCGGTTGCAGCTTCCATGGCCACCGTTGCAGCTCCGGTGCGCGACGACCGCAGCTCACCGGCGCGACGACAGGAGCTCACCGGCGTGCTCATCGGTGTGCTCGTCGGCGCTCATCCCCCGCTTGCGAACAAAAAAGATCGAGCGCCCAGGGAGATGCTCAGTGCTGCAACCTACGACGAAAAAAGCTACAACTAGCGATAGGAAAAGCTTCAACCGGCTACGAAAAAAGCTTCAACCAGTATACGACTGGAGCTATGGATGACCAAGAAAAGTTGCAACCGGTGACAGAAAAAGCTTCATCTAGCGATGAAAAAAGCTTCATCCGACTATAAAAAAAGTTTCAACCGTGGAAACGAAGCCATGGACGAAAAACAAAAAGTTGCAACCGACAGTTATAAAAGTTACAACCGCATTGAAAAAAGCTTCAAACTCCTTATCTCAGCTGCGACCCCGCGATGACGATGACACTGTTTTGCTGCAACCGTAGTAGATTTTTGCTACCACCGGCAGTTGAATTTGCTACAACCGGTTTCATCAAAAAATCGCCGTGGGGTGTAGTCTGCCATGGCTCCGGCGAAGTAGGCAGAGCTCCGATGCATGCGAGGTAGGCGTCGCCATGGTAGCACCCCATCGCCCCCCGGTTGCAGCATCTCCCGTGGTCACCGCCCCTCGGTCGCCGGCGAGATGGAATGGTCACCGTGCAGATCCATGGCAGCTTCGAGCGGGGAGGGAAAGCGTGGTGCTGCAACCAGGGGCGGGGGAGGGGGGGAGGGAGGGGGAAGGGATGGGGAAGGGGTGGGGAGGAGGGGGCAGAAGAAGAGGGCGGCGCGCGCCCCGGCGAGCTGCGCGAGATGTGCGCGGAGTGACGCGAGGAAGAGGGAGACCGGCCCAATCTTCCGCCGGTGCGCCGGCCCCAACCGTTTCCCTTTGACATAAGAAAAAATATCAGTTTTACTGAAGGAAAACACTTGCCATCAGCCGGCTGATAATAACACGCCCATTCGTCGCCTCCGTGGCCATCAGATCTGTCTTGATCGAATGGTTTGGGGAGCAATCTGGTTTTGCAACTAAGACGTTGCAATTTTTCCCACCGCAACAACTTAGTCTGTTGCACGATATGGATCTCATGCAAATCCTTGAGCATCTCCCTGTCTTCTTTATAATTTCATACCAAGGCAATAGCACAACGGGGTGGTCCCGGTTTGCTGTGAGCCCGGGGTCCAGTGCGGTCGCCGCCATGGTGCGTCATTGCAACCGGAGGTTGGGCGTGGTCGTCGCAGTGGTCCTTGCCACCCGCCTCCACCACGTCCGTCAGCCGCGCGCGGTGCACCAACCTCATCGGAGAAAGGATGGCGACGAGGCGCCCTGGTCGGCGGTCCGGCGCTCATTGGCGGCGACGGGCAGCGCCGCTCCTTTCCTCACCACCGTTTGACGGGAGTTCGTGGTGAACGACGTTGGTCTTTTTTTGCAACATCCTCCTTGTTGCAAAAAAGATTTTTGCACAATTTGTGATGTTGCAGAGCTTTCTCCAGTAATACTTGTATAAAGGTTAAAGATATTTAATTTTTGCAACATTAGCTGTATTGCTGAAAATTTCTGCAGCAATACCTCTGTTGCAAAAGTTCCGCAACATGAACTCTGTTACGAATGTCCGAGCGCAACAGCATCTTTGTTGCAAAGCTCGCAGCTGAATTTGACAGCTCCCCGCGTTGAATCCTATGGCTCTTCAGGCGGCGGATCTTTTAAAAAGATCCGCTGGCTGACGCATAGCGTTGCCCTTTTTCTTTCCATCCCCTTATTCTGCTCAGAACTCCGTGTGTCAATAAGATGTTGAAAACAATCTGACTTGTCAATTCCCACAATTGGCGTTAGTCCCAAATATTTGTCCGTGATCGCCTCCGCCATAATATTTAAAGCTGTGCACACCTCGACTCGAGTTTCAACAGGGGTACAGGGGCTAAAGGAAATACTTGATTTAGCTTCACTCATCAGTTGTCCCAAGGCTGTGAACACTTTCTATATTTGTTTGTTGGAAGCAATCACAACTTACCCAAAAAAACGAAAAATAGGGTTTTAAATGTATTTATGGGAAGCGTTCGTTTCTATATATATTTGATGGAAACAAATCACGACTTACCAAAACAACAGAAAATGGAGTTGTAACATAATTTCCGGGAAGCAGTCTCCGATTTGGAAAATACGCACACGTTTCCCTGGCTCAATCATCAGATGCTTCAAAAGATTGCGGTTCCTTATATTCGTTGTGATACCAATTCGATCGGTCTAGTTCCGTTTTCAGCCTCCGCGTACGTTGGTCCTTCCGTCTCCGATCAATGGGTACCAGCGCCAGCCGCGCGTCGTCGCCGTCTCCGCAGTCGTGGTGCGGCCTGGTGAAGACTGACTCCACCACGCAGCTCTTCGTCGTGCCCGACTACTCCAAGTGGGCGCGGATGCCCGCCCGCTCCGCGCTCAACTTCGACATGTTCTATCTCTGCGGCTGGAGTTAATTGCAGGTTGGTACCACACTTACGCATCTACTGACGAATCAGTACCACTACTCTTGCATGTCGTAGTTCAGTACCACTATTCGGCCTAACCGTTACAAAATGGACTGACAGCCGTATAAGTGTGTATTGACCATATATCTGACAAACCGGGCCCACCTGTCAGGTGACACGGTGGCCAATCGGCGCATGCCCGATGCGCTGACTAGGACGAGGCTGGTGTGGTGGGTCCAAGCGGTCTCGGTCGGATCGGTCGTCGGCCGGTCCTCACTCTCGCTCGACCTCACTCTCGCTCGACCTCCTCTCTCCGATTCGCCGCCGGCCGCCGCCGCCGCCACCTCAACCGGCTCGCCATCGCGCCATGGAGGACGAGAGCAGCCAGGACTCCAGCGTTCAATACATGAACCTCTCCAACGACGAGGTCATGCATTACCGGGTGAGTTGTAGAGCTAGGGTTAGGGTTAGGTTCTCTGATTTGGGGATTTGATTTGATTTGGGGATTGTCTCTTCCTTTTGCTCCTGTAGATCCCTGCTAGGATTGAAGACCAAGACTACGGTGGCATTGAGACAACACCCATCGTTCTTTGCCATCAGCATGGTGGCGGCTGAGAGGCGTGTAGCATTTGAAGCATTTAACACGGGCAGGAGGTTCTTAGTGTGTCCTAAGAGTGTAAGATTCTGTACAAATCTCTGTGTTAATTGTATTGTTTAATCTAACCATGTGCATAGAATTGTCCAGTGCATAGAATTCATGTTGTTTAATCTAGCCATGTGCTGATGCACATTGTTTAATCAGTACTCTTGTTTAATTGGGTAGCTGTGATGGTCATTTTGTAGCCATTTAGTACTACTGATGCTAATCATTGGATTAGAAAATGTGTTGATACTTTCCATGTATAATTAATTTGGTCAGTAATTTTATAATTGGTCAACAGCTTAGTTTGCAGTGCAGATGATCATTGTTTAGTTCACAAGAGTACTCAATTTGCCAATTATTTGATTGTTTAATGTCAGAGAGATTCAATGTCAGAAGCTCAAAATTCAGTGAGTGTTTAGTGTCAGAGGTTCATTCTTTAATTGGCTAGATTATTAAAGTTGTTTCTCAAAGATGCTTAAAGTTCATTATTTAATTCAGTGGCAGATGCTTAAAGTTGATTTGAGTTGTATTTCATTGTTAAAGTTAGATGCTCAAAGTTCAGTTATTATTTAAAGCCAGTTGCTCAAAGTTTATTGCTTAAATAATTTGCCTAGGAGATTGATTTTGCACATGCTATATTTGTTTATATTGCAGGAAGATGACAACTGTGGTATTGTTCTCTGGATTGACCCAGAGTGGCCTCTTACTTTGCAGAATGCCTTGTTGAAGCTATGGGAAATGTATCATGACAGCAAGAGTGATAGGAGGAAGGATAACCTGGAGAGTTCACTCACTATTCACCATTTGACTGAAGAAAAAAATAATGAGGCCAACTATGACAAATTGGTTGAAGATGTGCACCAACTGTTCAATGCTCAAGAGGATAGGGTGGTAGATTTCAGCTATTTGCGGGCTAAGATGCAGAATGTGCATGTTTCTGATTCAGTTGTATCTGACATGAAGACAGAGATGGGGAAGAAAGATGCAGAGATCTTCAAGCTGCAGGAGAAGTATAAAGTACTGATGAACCTGACAAAATCTCAAGGCACTTGCATCCAGAACTTGAAGTTCAATCATCTAAAAGAGAAGGAAGTGCTTAGTACATCCACCAGGAACCTGCAATTCCAGGTTGATGAAATCGAAAAATCTGAGGAAAAGCTCACCCAGGAGAACACCCAGCTGCTCCTTCACATG